AGCCTTGCCTACTCCAAGAGCACCAAATGAGAGACCCCCACCTCAACCCCCGCCCCCAAGGTTCTGAGCAACGACAGCCAAGGTTGTCTTCGGGCTTCCTCACATACATGCACACACATGTATGCATACCCACACATGTACATCCACAACTATACCTGTGGCAGACAGAAGGACCATTCTGAATTTAAGACTAGCATCAACCATTGCATGAGACCCCATCCCCTGTCCCCCCCCCAAAGAATTGAAAAAAGTATAGGGCAGATGATTGGTTAAGTATCAAATTTAGCTGGGCATAATAGCTCACACTTGTAATTCTAGCACCTGGGAGGCTGAGGCAGGATTGCTTAGAGTTCAGGGCCAATCTGGACTATGCAATGTGAAACTCTGTCCCCAAAACAAAAAAACTAATTTCAAACTAAAGATATTCCTTGATTTCATAGTGGGCTTAATCCTAATGAACCCACTGTAAACTGACTCTTAAGGTGAAAATGTATTTAGTATATCTTACCTACCAACACAACAGCCTAGCAACACAATACCTTGAAGAGTATCAGTTGTTTATCCTTATGATCCTATGACTGATAGAGAGCGGATGCCCGCTGCCTAGCATCACAAGAGAGTATCATAACAAAGCAGGGTGTGGTGGTGCAAGTCTGTAATCCTAGCATTTAGGAAGCTGAGGCAGGTCTAGGCTATACAGTTTGTTATAAACAGACTTGGAAGGTATATAGAGATGCTGTCTTAGAAAACAAAGAACAGAAACAACCCTGAGAGTATCATAAATCACAAGTCTAAGATCAAAATTCAAAGTAAAGGCTCTATTACTTTTATACCATCAAAACCAAAAGTTGAACCAGGTATGTCAGGGCAGTCTGCAAAGCGTAAAACAGAGACACATCAGTTCACACATAAACAATAATAAACTACTTTAACTGAGTGCCACTCTCAAACTAGCACATTACAAACTGGGCTCAGGCCCAGCTGGTGGTGCACACCTTTAATCCCAGAATGTAGAAAGCAAAGGTAGATAGACAGAGCTGAGTTGAGGCCAGCCTGTTCTACATATTAAGTTTCAGGCCGGTCAGGGCTGCATAGAGAAACCATGTCTCAAAAACAAAAACCCCATTATTTGTCTTAAAATAATTTCATTTATTCAACCAAATTACTGAGTGCCTGAACTGTTCCAGATACCTTAGGGGGGGAAAAAAAAAACCTACAAAAAACACCTACATAAGACAGCATTTGAAGTTGGGCACAGTAGCAACACACCTGTAATCCCAGGAGTTCAAAATCACCCCTGGCTACATAGTCAGTTGGAAGCCAGCCTGAGCTATGTGAGACCTGTGTTTCAAAAAACAACAAAGCCGCCAGGCATGGTGGTGCACACCTTTGATCCCAGCAGAGGCAGGCGGATTTCTGTGAGTTCAAGGCCAGCCTGGTCTACATAGTGAGTTCCAGGATGGCTGGGGCTACTGAGAGACACTGTCTCAAAAAGACCAAAGAAAAGAAAAAAAAACCCCAACAAAGCCGGATTTGCAAATGCCTTTAATCCCAGCATTCGGGAGGCAGATACTGCTACTAGAGCTGGGTATGGTGATGCAAGCCTTTAATCCCAGCATTGGCAAGGCAGAGGCGGGTGGAACTGTGAGTTTGAGGCCAGCCTGGTCTACAGAGCGAGTTCCAAGTCAGTTGGGGCTACGGGGAGACCTTGAGTCAAAAAACCAAAAAAAACACCACTACTAGAAATAACTGAAACTTCATTTTACAGAGGTCCTGGCCTACAAATACACTGTACAACATAAACACAAAAACTCTGTTTTAAGTATTCACAACAGGGGAAGAGGATCAAAAACACATGTTCCTTTACTTTTACAATCACAGATATTTTCTATTTAAGGTCCCACTGCAACTGACTCTATTCTTTAAATAAGTCAATACTGTAGCTAGCACGTTAATTATATATTACTTCTTGAAAAGAAAAGCATATACTGTAAATCATTTACCTTGGACTAGTACTCTGTGAGTACAAATGCAGACATTCCTAGCAGAGCTCAGAGGGACAGTACTCTTTCTGTAAGTTTCTCTTTAAAATTTTTTTGAGGGGCCTGGAGAGATGGTTCAGTGGTTAAGAGCACTGGCTGCTCTTGAAGACTGGGGTTCAGTTCCCAGCACCCATATGTCAGGCAGCTAAACAACTGTCCTTAACTCCAATTCCAGGGGATCCAACACCCTCTTCCGATCTCCATGCACTGCACAGCACAGGTGCCCTTACATACATGCAGGCAGTATACTCATACATATAAAATAAAAATAATAAAAATATCTTGAAAAAAATGTTTTTGAGACAATGTCTCAGTCTCCAGGCTGGCATGGAACTCATTATGCAGTTCAGACCCCAAATGGGTAGCAATCCTCCTGCCTCACTTTTAAGTGCTAGGATTACAAGCATGAACCATCATGCCTGGTAAAAGTTTCTATTTATGGTCTCATCTTTTAAAATAACTACTTTCTTGCACTTCATACTAACTTTGCATCAGTATCTGGGACACTCATGCCAGGAAAAGGCAAGGCAACCACAATACAATTTCTACTGTCAAAAATGACATTCAAAAAAGTACTCATAATACAAAAACAACTTAATTATGATCTAATGTTTCTAGAAGGGGCAAATACAGTTCCTTTTTTTTTTTTTTTTTTGTCTTTTTGAGACACGGTTTCCCTGTAGCTCCAGCTGGCCTTAAATTCAGAGAGCCACCTGCCTCTCCCACCAGGACTGCTGGGGCTAAAGGCATTCCCATAAATTTTAAAATCCTGATAAGGGTAACAGAGAACAGTAACTCAGAGACATTCAATTTCCCTAGAAAAGGCTAAAGAGCAAATATTTTGATAAAGTTTTTCCATGACACCCAAATATTTGCTGAATAGCAATATATGGGAGGGGGAAACATAAATACACAGTTCTTCACTTTAAAAAAGTCTTGGTAGTATAGGGCTCTAATTGCAGTTACTCTGGAGGAAGAGGCAGGCAGATCAATTCCTACTACTGAAAACACATCTAGATTTAGTTTGGAATTAAAGAGACTATTCCTTAGCAATTTATACACTTTAGGAGAAATGCATGTGTAAATAAATTTTTTTTTTTTTTTTTTGGTTTTTTGAGACAGGGTCTCTTTGAAGCCTCAGCTGACCTGGAGCTCACTATGTAGACCCGGCTGGCTTTGATCTCAAGAGATCTGCCTGCCTCTGCCTCCTGAGGGCTGGGACTATAGGCGTGTGCCACCATGCCCGGCTTAACTACTATTTTTTAATGTGCCAGAAATTGCATGCAACATTGGGAACAGAGCTTCTAGTCTTCATTTATTCCACAACTACTGAGTACCTATCATAAGCCAGATGCTGGGGTATAAAAACTCCTGGAAATTGTGTCCCTAAATTCATGCAGCTTAAGGGGAGGGGAAGAGGATTTCAAAAATGAGACACACATCTACCTACCTACCTAAACAAAGACATAACACTAAATTATTATAGGCATTATACTGCTTATATAAATGTACAAGGTTCAGTGGGGGGCATATTCAGGAATTCAGGGTGGGAGGGAAAGAAATGTCAGGACTTCCTAGACAAAAGCTGAGTCCTTAAAGAGGATTATGTATTCACTTGGGCGACCTTGGGGGAAAGGCTCCAAGTAGAAAGATCACTTGCAGTAAAGACAGAGGCCTCAACAGACTGGTTTGGTAGCCTGATATACGGAATGTGAGAGAGGCTTCTTCAAGGCTACAATAAAGACTAGAATTTACTAGGGTGTATGAAAGACTCTGAAAGGGAGTCAGAAAAATCAGCATGTGATCAATCAGGTTTCTGTGATGAGAAACTGGTTTACACAGGAATGAGAAAACACCAATGCTAGCTAATGATGTCACCACATAAAGGAAAAAAGGAGACTGCCCAGTTAGAAAACTAAACTCTCTTCAGGAAACTATTAAAGAATCTTATTTCAAGCCATTCTGGGAAGTTTATTCAGCATCATTTAGAACTGAGAAAGCAGAGGAAAGATTGACATGTATATGGATTTTAACAAGCGCCTTTTTTTTTTTTTTTTTTTTTTGTAGCCCCTGCAAGCCTGGAACTCCCTATGTAGACCAGGCTAGCCTCAAAGTCAGAGATCTGCTTGCTTCTGCCTCCCAAGTGCTGGGATTAAAGGCATGCTCCACGACACCCAGCCACAAGCGCCTATCTTAAATTTCCAAGTGGTCTTAACTTTTTTCTGTAACATATCTCGGGGCTAATGGATGTTGGACAAAAAACAATGAAACCCATTTGTAAGTCTTTGATAAAAGAAAAAAACACAAGTAACAGATGGCATTTCCCAAGTCCGGCTGAAAGGTTTTCAAAGTTCAAGATAATCAAGTTTTTATTAAGTCAATATATGTTTATATATGTTTACGTGTTTAAAAAGTGTGTCACAGAGGTGGAGCAAAGAGAGTTTAAAAATTAACACATACGTATACATATACAAACAAGTAACTCTTGATGGCGCTGAGGCTAAAATCACCACTTAAGAATTCTATCTCCCAAGTAGAGGCAGAAACGAAGATCTAGCACAAACAATGAACAAAGATGGGATGGGAATGGAGGGGATCACACATGAAATACGAAGGGGCCAGGTGACAACCCATCCAGAACCCATAATCCTGTTGGCAGTACGATGAGGAAACCACACAATTCAAACATAAAAGCAGGAAAATAATGTCATTCTCAAAACTCCACATGTGAACTAGGAGACAGTGGCCAAGGGGATGTGATCACACGGATTCCTGCACTCAAGGACAGAACCTCCTCCCCAGACGGAGCCCGAGGGGAAATGAAGGCTTGTCACTACTCAAGGCCACCGTGCAGGGGTCAACGCCCCCCCCTCCCCGGCCAGGCCGCACGGAAGCCACGAAGGCGGCCCCGGTCGGCCCGCACCGGGTCCGCGCACCCCGACACACACACTCCCCTACCTGATATGGCGGCGGCGGCTCCTGATCTGGCTCCGTCCCTTCGCCAAAGCTAGCCCGGTCGGACTGAGACTCGTGAAGCAGGGAGATGTCATCCGAGGTTGGGGATTTGAGGCAGTTCCCCATCTTCCGGGGCTGGGATGTGTGTGTGATCTGGGGGAGGAAGAAAGCCGTGACCGGGTCGCTCGCACGCTCCGCGGTCAGCCTCCCCTGGGCGACGCGGGGTGGGCGGCAGGCAGGCCCGGGGCTCAGGCGGCGGCTCTCCCGAGCCCCGGCACCGCCGAGGGGCTGCTCATGCCAGCCCCCGGGACGGGGGGCGCGAGGCTAGACCGCTGGCTGCGCCGGGGTCGCGCAGGAGCCTACGGGGAGGCGGCGGGGG